CCATTTTTCATGTGTTTGTTGACCATTCATCTGTCTTCTGGGAGAAGATTCTGTTCATGTCTCTTGCCCAGTGATTAATTGGATTGTTGGCTCCTTTCTTGTTGATTTGCTTGAGTTCTTTGTAGATTCTGGATTATTAGCCCTTTGTCAGATTCATAACATGTGAGTATCTTCCCCCATTCTGAAGGTAGCCTTTTCACTTTCTTTATTGCATCCTTAGCTGTGCAGAAGCCTTTGAGCTTGATCAGGTCCCAGTTACTTGTTTTTGCTGTTGCTGCACTTGCCAACGGGGTCTTCTTCGTAACATCTATCCCCAGCCCAATATCATTACGGGCTTTCCCACACTTCCTTCTAGAGTTTCTGTAGTTTTGTGTCTTAGCATTAAATCTTTTATCCAGCATAACTTAATTTTTGTAAGTGGTGAGAGACATGGGCTCAGTATATATCTTTTACATGTGGCTAACCGGTTCTCCCAGTACCTTTTATTAAATAGGGATTCTTTCCCCAGTGGAAGCTTTTGTTTGCTTTATCAAAGATCGAATGGCAATATGAGGCTGGCTTCATCTCTAGGCTTTCTATTCTATTCCATAGATCTATGTCTCTATTTTTGTATTGACAGTATTCATAGCAGCTCAACTCACAATCACAAAGATATAAAACCAATCCAAGCCCCTATCAACCCATGGAAGGATTAATAAACTATGTATACTATGGAATACTCTTCAGCCATAAGAAAGATAGAGACTTTACATCTTTTGTATTTACCTGGACCAAGTTAAAGAACATTCTCTGTACTAAAGCATCTCAACGATGGAAAAACAAGCACCCTGTATAATCATTACTGACTGGAAACTAATATATGAACAACTATAAACCTACATGAGAGAAAAGCATATTTAAATTCAAGTAGGGAGGAGAGGCAAAAGGGGAGGGGGCTCAGTAAGCTTCCATCTAACAGGTATGATGTAAAGGTATATGGCGCACCTCCTGTGTGAAGGACTCAAATTCAACTCAGATGCTACCTAACAAAGGCAAACAACGTAACCCAGACATATGTACTCGTATATTAATCCAAAACTTTTTTTAAAAGAGAAAGATTAGAGATGAGGGGGAAAATGACCAGAATCCAGGTCATAAGGGCCCTGTAGACCAGGATAAGGACCTTGTGTTTTACTCTGAGTGATATCAGAAAACATTGGAAGGTTTTGATCAAAAAAGATTTCAAAACTGATCACTGTAATTTGTTTCTATGTCTGTCTCCCAGTAGCCTGTGCATTTCTGGGGTCCTGGGGATGGAGGCAGCTCTTATTGACCTCCACCCAGCCCACAACAGGTTATCAGTGGGTGTTTGTGGGTATTCACTGAATCCAGGCATTACGAAACTCAAGGCCCTGGGTATGTGCTTCCTACAGGTTGGCTAGCTGTGGCCTCACAGCGGAGGGCTGCAAGGATCTTGTCCTTGGGCTGAGCACCAGCGAGACCCTGACTGAGCTGGAGCTGAGCTTCAACATGCTCATGGATGCGGGAGCCGAGCACCTTTGCTGGGGGCTGAGACAGCAGAATTGCAGGCTGAGGCGACTACAGTAATTGTCTCGGGTTGACACTGCCTTGTGGGGTGGACATGGGAAGAACAGGAAGACCAGGGGAGGGGCACAGAAAAGGGGAGATCTGCTTTGAGGCGTGAACAGGGACCTTCAAGTTGTCAGCCAGGCTGTGGAGGCTCAGGAGAAGAGTCACCCACACCTGGGCTGAGGGATGTGGCCTTTAGGCTCCAAAGGCAGCACGCGCACGCAAGTCCCAATGGGCATGCATTTTCTAAGCCCCTGTTTGAGTCACATTTGCTCTGGTCCCATTGGCCAAAGCAAATCCTGTGATGGCCAGGCCAAGATTCCAGGGGCAGAGAATTAGACTCAAGCTCTTAAAGGGAGGATACCACCCAGGGGCATGGACACAAAGTGGAGGTGGGGGGAGAATGTGTGGCCATTGTCACAGTCTACTAGAGGGTGATGATAATGGTACCAATTTCACAGACTTTTTATGGGGATTAATGGGTGAAGTTGGGGTCTGCCTACTAATAAGGCCTCCTTCTTGGCCTAGGGCTCAGTCTGAGAGCTAAAATCACTGGTGTCCACTTAACTCAGTCGTCTATCTCATTCAAAAGGCCAGTGTCATGCCCCATCAAGGGGACTGTTCACCTCTCCCTGAAACCCCAGGGCCCCATGCCCTGACACACCAAATTACACACACAACCCTCTGCTCAGAGGGCTGCCATCAGGGAAACCATGCACTTCCCTCCTTATTTCCCAAAGCCAAATGTCTCCTTCCCAGGGCCATTGCCTGTTTCCCCACTCAGTAATGCTGAGCCAAGAGTTAATGGGGTGTGTGGATGGGAAGGGGAGTCATCCGGGACCCCCATCTAACATCAAGGGTTAGTGATTCCTGGATGGATAGGAATGTAAAGCCAGGCCTGATGCCTGCTTTTCTACTTTCCCAGAACTCTCCCTTGGCCAAGACCCTGAGGGTTATGTGACATGTTACCAACATTGACTACAAATAAGGTCCTGAGCTTTCTGCTGGGAGCTGAGAAGACCCAGATGTGGGAGCCAAAGGTTCTAGAAGCACGGCTGAGGCCCCAAGGGCAGAGGACCCCCAGACAGCCTTCCCCAGAGACAGCCTGTGTACACACAGCATAAGCAGACACAAGCCCTTTCCTTACATGAACGGCAGCACACCACAAACACTGTCCTGCACTTTGCTTTGTCTTGGAGACGGCCCCACATCAGTGCACACAAAGCTGCTGCATCCCTTTAATGGCAGGAGGACAGAATTTCACTACATAGATTTACCATCTGTTTTTAATCAATCTCCTGTAATAGGCATCTGGATTTTCTCCAGTCTTTGCCTCTGTGAACATCCTTCTGCAGTTAACATCCTTCTTGTGCATCCTGAGACACAATCTATAACCTAAATTCTGAAAAACAGAATTTCAGGGTACAGGATCTATGCATTGCTAATCATGCCCTCTAAAGAGATTGTTCTAATCAAGGGGTGCATTGTTTACCAAGATTAAATGTGCCACAATGAGCCTTGTCCACAGGCACCCCAATGTCAGTCCCTCCCTGTGCATCTCGGTAATCCCCACACTGTAGGGAGAGGGAGGAACTTTATCTGGAAAGACAGCATACACCATCCTTCCTTTTCATCCCTGCTCCCATCACTCCTCTGTGATACTCAGTCTATGAACAGCAAGAAGCTGCCCTGAACATCATGGAGCTCAGGTCCTCCCCTAGACCAGCAGACCCCACCCCTACTCCCCAGGGCCTGCAGCCCAGTGTTGGAAGAGGCAGAGTTACCCACCCAGATAGACACTGGAGTGAGCAGGCTGCGGGACTCTATCACTGCTCAGCACAGTATGTGGTGTGCCAGGATGACCTTATCCTGGGACAGTGTGCACCCCAAACTCAGAGTAATGGGAAGACCAGGCTAGGTCCTCAAGTTCCTACTGAAGACATCATACTCCTTCTCAACTTCTATTCTTGTGTGAGCTCATTCATTTTTCTCCTGTATTGCCAATACCCTTAAGATCGAAACCCACCAAAGCATCCTATGGCACCTGAATCAGGGTGTTTGGCAGGGTTAACAGTTAGACCCAGGTTTACTCGGGGAACATTGGGTAAATCACTCTTCAAGGCTGACGTAGTGAGTATCAGAATTCATGAGTATCACACTGGAATGAGAAAGGGTGCTTGTCGCATCCTGAGGGGCTCCTTGGCTGCAAGAGGAAAGTTAAAATCTCTAGATTACTGAAATCCAAGAAAGTTTTTGTCTTCCCTAATGTCACCTCAGGGCCCCCAAAGGGCCATAGCTGCAGGCAAGGGAGACCAGACCCCAGTTACTTGGAAGAGTGAGCCCTGACAACAATGACTGTGGGCCCATGTGTGTCTCTCATGCAGGCTGGTCGGCTGTGGCCTCACGTCCAGCTGCTGCCGGGACCTGGCCTCTGTGCTCAGCACCAACCCCAGCCTGAAGAAGCTGGACCTGCAGCAGAATGACCTGGGAGACCATGGCGTGAGGCTGCTCTGTGAGGGGCTGAGGCATCCCGTCTGCTCACTCACGCTCCTGTGGTAAGGCCCTGTGGGCCCCCTCCTGGCAGAGGTTATGGGAGTGTAGGCGGTAGGATGGCAGGGGATTGGATCAAGGAAGGAAAAGAGGCTGCTAAATGCATAGTCAGCTTGGGCTTCTTACTGGGTCTGCCACTTACTTACATGTGGCACTCAGGCAAGTCACTGTCCCTCTGAGTCTCTGTTCCTTCATCTGTGGAATGGGAATATCATACCCACTTCATGGATTATAATGAAATACAATGTACAAAGAATAAGGCCAGTGCTGGGAAGAGTTAGTCATGATGAAACAATAAGTATTAGTGAGGCTGCACGTTCTAAGGAATTCCAGCATCACTCCAGGGCAGCACTTCATTCATTCACTCATTCATTCATTCATTCATGGTATGCCTCCCATGTGCGAGCACTGGGCCAGGCCCTGGGGATAGGACAGTGAGCAAACAGGCCTGGGTCCTGCCCTCTTGAATTTAAACTCTAGTGGGAAAGAGATAAACATTACTCACCTATGAACGCATAAGTGTGTGTGCATCAGCGCTGTTGAGTGCTATGAAGGGGAAGTACAGGGTATTACTGGAGTGTGACCCTGGGAGAAGATGGAATTAGGTTGAAGGGCCAGGAAGGGCTTCTTTGAGGAAGGGACATCAGACTGAGGCCTGAAAGGGAAATAGGAGTTCCCCACACCACTTTGGGGAGAGTTATCCAGGCAAGGGATGGTGTGGGGAGAGGTCCCAACAAAAAAAAGGGCTTGAGCACCCAAGACCCAGAGCCCTGTGTGACTGTAGTGGAATGAGCCCCCAACCTTCAATTTGTATCCTGGAGGCCGTGGAGCTTAATGTCCTTCCTTCCCCGGTAGTCACCCCTATACCATCTCTGTGCCTCTTGCTCTTTCTTCCTCCTTGAAAACAAACACAGGGCCTCCATACAGCCGGGTGGGACTGTGCCACATGCTCAGGAAGCTGACAGAGGCTCCAGATGCCATGTCCAGAGACTCAGTCCTGCTCTGATCTCTCAGAAGGGGGCTGAAATCCTGAGCCCTTGGGTTCTCCTCAGCCAGGTCTCCTGATCCCAATCCCGTACCTAAAGGAAGAGTCAGGGCAGCATGACAGGGATAAAAAGTCTGCACTTGGGTCTGTCTCCTGCCACTTACAACCCGAGGACTCCACCCCGGGACCAGCACCTTCGCACCCAGCTGGCCACTGGGTACTGTTGATTGTAACCATCCACCCCGAGTTGAAGAGCCTCCCCAGAGCTTGACTGGCAAACCTCAGCTGCCTGGGAGGGGACCTTGCTCCCTGAGATGCTGTGAAGTTTCCCCATCCTTCCCTCCTGGAGCCCAGGACTTGGTTGAGAGGAACAACTGTCTATTGCTTGGGCTCCATCCCCTCCCCAAGGGGAGAGCAGCTCTTCTCACAGTAGGGTGACAAAGGCCTGGCCCTTCACAGGGTGAGGGTCTTGTCACCTCCTGCTTTATTTACATATCACAACAGGCAGAACAGGAGAGATTCACCCTTGACTAAGGACACAGACACTTAAAAAAGCAATAAATGCATAATCAGCCTGGGTTTCTTACTAGGTCTGCCACTTACTTACACTCACCACTCAAGATAGTCACTGTCCCCTCTGAGACTTGGTTCCTTCATCTGTGGAATGAGAGTATCATACCCACTTCATGGATTATAATAAAATATATAAAGGAAGACCAGGCCTTTGTCACCCTAATGTCCCAAATCTGCCAGAAACCCCACAATATAAGGCCTGCAAGAATGGAACCAGGACCTTCACTTTCCAGCAAAACTTCTAAATTCCAGGAGACAACCCCCAGGGCCCAGGCCCTAGGTGGTCACTATGAAGCTATGGTAAGTGCCACTAGTAGCTGGCTTCAGGGATGACTCCTGCCAATGACAGCCTCTCACCAAGGCCACACCTCATTTCTGAGGTGGTCTGCATTCAACAACTGAGGAGTGACTGACAGATCTTGGGGTACAAAAGCCCTACCCCTTATCCTAACCCCAGACAGCACTAAAGGACCATTCCATCTTCAGAAGTGCCCATAGGGTCAACTGAGGCCTTTCCTGAGACTGTCCGACACCCACTTCTCCCTCTGCCCAACCCACTTCCATCGCTGCCCTCTCCCTGGTTGGAACCCAGAACAATCCCTAGTAAAATTCCTTACACTATTCTCCACCCTAGAGCCCGAATCCCAGGGAGGCTAACCTAGGACAGAGTCCATTGGGAGGTGCAGGTCCCCAGATTCTGGATGAGCCCCAAGGGCCCAGGGAGCACATGGGGACCCCAGAAGAACCAGGCACCCTTGTGCTTGCAGGCTGGACCAGGCCCCTCTGGGTGAGGAGCTGAAGGAGGAGCTGAGGACCCTGGAGAAGGAGAAGCCTGCACTGCTCATCTCCAGCAGGTGGGAAAGGAGCCCCAGAACTCCCTCTGGCTGGTGCAGACTCAGGGATGAGCCTAGAGACAGGGAAGGATTCTTAGGGTGAGAGAGACAGACAGAGCCAGGAGAAAACTAGGAAGCCACAGCAGCCACAGTGAGGTTTGCTTAGTGCAAATAGAAGAAATCACCTCCCTGCTGAAACCATCTGTTAGACAAATAAGTAGGTCAAAAAGTGCAAAGGTGAGTGGGTGAGTGAGTGAATCCTCAGGGGCCACCATAGTGTGATGCCAAATGGCCTCAAGTACAGGCTCCTTCAGTGCAGAGCAGGGAAGGTTTAGAACAATGAAAGCGATGACCACATGGGGGAGACAGAGACAGAGACCACCCTCAATGTCACTGCAACTCCCACACACAGATACACACACACCCCTGGCTTAAGGGATAAACCCTGAGCCCAGGGACAGCAGAGTACATCCTCCACCCCCAGGAATCTGCTGCAGCCCCCTTACTCTTTCACTTGGAGCATTTCAGCCTGTGTCTGTAAAGTGCAACTGTCCCCACGTTCCTGACAGCTGTGCCCTACCAGAAAAGGAAGGGAAAGAGCTCCTGGGAGTAGGAGGAGGCAGCCATCCACTGAACAGACATCCCCTGATAACACGGTGTTTCCTCACATACGAATCTGACACATCACTTGGCTGCCAAAGATCTGTAATATTTCTCCATTGCTTCTGGGGCAAAACAGATAGTTATTTGTTTCTTTTATCTTTTTATCTTATTTTTTGATACAGTCTCACTCTGTTACCTGGGTTATAGTGCAGTGGTATCAGCCTAGCTCATAGCAACCTTAAACTCCTGGGTTCAAGCAATCCTCTTGTCTCAGGTGCTACAGATGCCACCACAATACCTGGCTAATTTTCTTATCTTAGTAGAGACGAGGTCTCATTCTTGCTCAAGCTGGTCTTGAACTTCTGAGTGCAAAGAATCCTACCACCATGGCTTCTAGAGTGCTAGGATTACAG